CCACTTTATTCCGAGTCTTTAAACACAAAAATAGCCTAAATATCGTCACACTTTTTGTAGTCGAAAAATATAAACTAGAACGTTCAAAACAACGTTTTGTCGCCCGCGCGACTATTTCAGCGGTCATGATAACAAGTACTTCATATAATAATATCGTTCGTTAACATAATGTATTGTATTGTATTGTATTGTATTGTATTGTATTGTATTGTATTGTATTGTATTGTATTGTATTGTATTGTATTGTAATGTAATGTAATGTAATGTAATGTAATGTAATGTAATGTAATGCAATGTAATGTAATGTAATGTAATGTAATGTAATGTATTGTAATGTATTGTAATGTATTGTAATGTAATGTAATGTAATGTAATGTAATGTAATGTATTGTAATGTATTGTAATGTATTGTAATGCATTGTAATGTAATGTAATGTAATGTAATGTATTGTGATGTATTGTGATGTATTGTGATGTATTGTGATGTATTGTGATGTATTGTGATGTATTGTGATGTATTGTGATGTATTGTGATGTATTGTGATGTATTGTGATGTATTGTGATGTATTGTGATGTATTGTGATGTATTGTGATGTATTGTGATGTATTGTGATGTAATGTATTGTAATGTGTAAGCACTCACATGAATGGACCTTGTCTACGTGTTAGCCTTTTAGTAAGTGACGGGGATTATAATATTACAATTTAAAGTATAAAAATGACAGCAAGTGAATGTCATGTAACGGCCCCGCCTAATAAAATTTTAATTCAATGGCAGTGTTTGGGAAGTTATATACAGAAGCACCAAAACTAAGCCGCTTTTTTAACAATATTTCCAAAAGTTTCACGCGAAAGATGGCGAACAGCCTCCTATCATACATACATATTGAATGCTGATTAAAAAATTCCATTGCTAAAAATTCGAACGGGTAAAAGTATATTCATTTCACAGATCTAAGGCTGGTATACTTTAATTTAGGGTATTATAATTAGTTGCGGTAGTGATCATGTGTTTATAAAATGCTCCGTCGTCCGTCGTCCGCCTTTTATCTACACCCCGATAAAAGTGTGCTAATAGGCGTGCTTTGCTTTGTTTATTTTTACATTTGACAGCATCGACAATAATTCCCTTGCCACTCCTCCCAGAGTGTTTTTAAAACGCTAATTGAAAACACCCCAGATTCTGGGGTGTCACGTGACCAGCCCCAACCAGGGTGTTTCCGCAGCTTGAGGGCGTGCGAAGGTAAGAGCCTGGGTACGAGGTTGGGAATATTTTCCCAATTGTGCACCTGTTTCGCTTGGGGAGTAAACAACAAATATCTTGATTATTAGATTACACTGATATCGAAGGAACTAGACTCAGTTCCGAACGCATCTCGAACCGACCTGACCGCGTAGCTCAGTTGGCAGAGCATTGGGCTAGTATTCCAAAGGTCGTAGGTTCGAATCCCACCGTGGCCAGGCATATTTTTCAAGCCTGCCCGGTGTGGATACACACTCAGAGTAACATCACAAGCATCTCATTCACCTGAGTACACTACACCAACACAACAAATATCTTGATTATTAGATTACACTGATATCGAAGGAACTAGACTCAGTTCCGAAATATCGCATCTCGAACCGCCTGACCGCGTAGTTCAGTTGGCAGAGCATTGGGCTAGTATTCCAAAGGTCGGCGTAGGTTCGAATCCCACCGTGGCCAGGCATATTTTTCAAGTCTGCCCGGTGTGGATACACACTCAGAGTAACATCACAAGCATCTTATTCACCTGAGTACACTACACCAACACAACAAATATCTTGATTATTAGATTACACTGATATCGAAGGAACTAGACTCAGTTCCGAAATATCGCATCTCGAACCGATCTGACCGCGTAGCTCAGTTGGCAGAGCATTGGGCTAGTATTCCAAAGGTCGTAGGTTCGAATCCCACCGTAGCCAGGCATATTTTTCAAGCCTGCCCGGTGTGGATACACACTCAGAGTAACATCACAAGCAAAGATAGTGATGACAAGAAAAGGAAATTTATAGAACGAAAGTGGAAGCGATTAAACCAAGATATGAAAAGTGCAATCATTAAAGGCACAGTTCAGCCTTTTGAACGATGGTTTTTAAGGCGCATTTCAGCTCTTTTAATTGAAAAAACTAACTAGGAAAATCAATTAAGGATAATTCAAGATCACCAAACTCAATGTTTTTAACATTTAAAACATTTTTATTCTTAAAAACATCGAGTTTACTGATTTTGAATTATACTTAATTGATTTTCCTAGTTAGTTTTTTCAATTAAAAGGTCTGAAATGTGCCTTAAAAGCCAACGTTCAAAAGGCTGAACTGTGCCTTTAAGGTGGAAACAACCAAACAAAATACAGAAAAGCTAGATAAAGACGAACTAAATGAACATAAAGTTGAATTTTCAGAACTTATTATATCGTTAGATCAATTGATAAGTGAGATTGAACCATAGGCGTACGGGACAGGTGGGGCAGGGGGGCAG